AATGACTGAAACATTGTGCTGAACACTGGAATTTGACACAACATTGTAAAATGATTATAAATCAATAAAAAATGTTAAAAAAAAACACTTACAAGAAATGATAATATTTAAACTGAAGACACAACTACATTTCCTCTCTCATCAACACCACCAATTCTTCAAGATGAAACTGATTAGCTTAATATTAGTAATTCTTCTAATGGATATGTAAAGCATATTCAATTACTTTGCAACATCTAATTTACTTAATTCAAAAACTGTTAACAACTTGCTAGAAAATGCAATCAATTATATAAAAATATTGACTTACCTTCACTTGTAGCATGGGTTGAAATTCCCTCACAAGCTTCATTGAAGAGTCATAAATGGAATTTCCGATTTTTACTGACTCCAACAGTGGTACAGGGCGAAAGTCAGTGTGGTAGAGTTCAGCATTCAACCAGGAAGCCACAAGCTCCAAATTAGGAAGAGTAGCACTCATGCCAACAATCTGCACAGCACTAGCCAACGAACTGGCTAAATCTGCCTGGCTGTGAAAAACAAATGAAAATGATGTTAAAAGACACACATTATTACTTACAAATAGTGTTAACAATATTCTTGGTCACGCCCTTTGGTACATAAATGCATACATTTCTCTAGGGTATATACCTAGGAGTAAAATCGCTAGGTCACAGATTATTTTCAATTTTATTAAATAATCTCAAACTGTTTTCCAGAGACACTGTACCAAAGTACCATCCCCACAATCTATGTGTTTTTTTCATTTATTGAGATATAATTGACATACATCACTGTATAAGTTTAAAGTGTACACCATAATGATTTGACTTACATACACCATGAAAAGATCACAATGTTTAGAAAACATCCATCATCTCATGTAAATACAACATTTAAAAAAATAGGAAAAAAATTCCTTGTGATAAGAACTCTTAGGATTTACTCTCAACAACTTTCATATATAATATACAGCAGTGTTAATTATATGTATCATGTTGTACACTATATGCCTAGCATTTATTTATCATATAACTGGAAGTTAGTACCTTTTGACTGCTTTCATACACATGTCCCTCCCCCAACTCCTGCCTCTGGTAACCACAAATCTGATCTCTTTTTCTGAGTTTGTTTTTGAAATATAAATATCTACAACACTATGTTATTTTCTCTTATTCAGCATGGTGATTCCATATTTCTATACATTTCAAAATGATCACTGTAACTCTAGTTACAATGTCATCATACAAAGATAATACATATTGACTATATTCCCCACACTGTACATTTTACATCCATGACTCATTTATTTGCAACTGCAAGTCTGTACCTCTTAATCTCCCTCATCTATTTCTTCCCTTCCCCCACCCCAACCCTCTGGCAACCATCTGTTCTGTTTTTTAGATTCTACATATAAGTGAAATCATATTGTATTTGTCTCTGTCTCACTTTTTTCACTTAGCTAATTCCCTCTAGGTTCGATCACGCTGTTGCAAATGGCAAGATTTCCTTCTTTCTCATGGCTGAATTATATTTCATTGTACATAAATATACATTTTTTTTATCCATTCATCTACTGAATCTGTTGATGGGCATTTGGGTTGCTTCCATATCTTAATTATTATAAATAATGCTGCAATGAACCTAGGGGAGCATATATCTTTTTTGAATTAGTGTTTTTGTTTTCTTCAGATAAATATCCAAAGGGTAGAATCACTGGATCATATGGCAGTTCTATTTTTAATTTTTTGAGGAATCTCCATCATGGCTGCAACCAACTGAAATTCCCACCAACAGTGCACAAAGGTTCCTTTTTCTCCACATCCTTTGTCAACACTTGTTATTTGCTGTTTGATAACAGCCATTCCAGCAGATGTGAAGTGATACCTCATTACAGTTTTGATTTGTATCTCCCTGATCATTAGCGATGTTAAGCATCTTTTCATGTGCCTATCGGCCATCTGTATGTCTTCCTTGGAAAAATGTCTTATGTATTTAGATCCTCTGCCCATTTTTTAATCAGATTGTTTTTTTTATGTTGATTTACATGAGCTTTTCACATTTCTTAGATTAATCATCCCTTATTAGAGACAGCATTTGCAAATATCTTCACTCATTTAGTATGCAGCCTTTTTGTTCTGTTGATAGTTTCCTTTCCCATACAAAACCTTTTTAGTTTTATGTAGTCACATTTATTTTTGCTTTTGTTTCCCTTACCTGAGGAGACATACTGAAAAATTAAGACAGATATCAAAAAGTGTAGTGCTTATGTTTTCTTCAAGAAGTTTTATGTTTTCAGATCTTACATTTAAGTCTTTAATCCATTTTGAATTTATTTGTGAGCATGGTGTGAGAGTAGTCCAGTTTTCCCAACACCGTTTATTGAAAAGGCTGTCTTCTGCCCATTGTATACTTTTGCCTCCTCTGTCATAGATTAATTGCCCATGTAAGTGTGGGTTTACTTCTGGGCTTTCTAATCTCTTCCATAGATCTATGTATCTGTTTCTGTGCCAGTACCATACTGTTTTGATTACTGTAGCTTATAATCAGGGAGTGGGATACCTCCAGGTTTGTTCTTTCTCAAGATTGCTTTGGCTATTTAGGATCTTTTTTGTTTCCATACAAATTTTAGAATTATTTGTTCTAGTTCTGGAAAAAATGCCACTGGTATTTTGATAGGAATTGCTCTACATCTATAGATTGCCTTGGGTAGTATGGTCATTTTAACAATATTAATTCTTCCAATCCATGAACACAGTATATCTTTCCATCTGTTTGTGTTGCCTTCAATTTCTTTCATCAGCATCTTATAGTTTTCCAAGTACAAGTCTTCTACCTCCTTAGTTAGATTTATTTCTAGGATTTTTATTCTTTTTGACACAATTATAAATGAGATTTTCTTAATTCCTCTTTCTAATAATTCATTGTTAGTGCATAGAAATGCAATAGATTTCTGTATATTAATGTTGTATCTTGCAACCTTACCAAATTGACTGATGAGTTCTAGTAGTTTTTTGGTGCTGTCTTTAGAATTTTCTATGTATAGTATCAGGTCATCTATAAATAGTGGCAGTTTTACTTCTTCCTTTCCAATCTGGATTCCTTTTATTTCTTTTTCTTGTCTGATTGCTGTAGCTAGGACTTCCAACAGTATACTGAATAAAGATGGTGAGAGTAGGCATCCCATGTGTGTTTTATTGTTCCACATCTTTGTCACCACTTAGTGTTGTCAATATGTTAGCCTTTTTGGACAGTGGGTGGTAAGTCTCTTTGAAGAGGTAACTTACATTTCCTTGATTACTAATGAGATTAAGCACCATTTCATGTTTTGGGACCATTTAGATACCCTCTTGTGAATGCCTGTTCAAGTTCCTTGCCGACTGATATTAGGCTGTATTTTTTTCTCATTGATTTGTAAAATATTTTTAATGTTTTGGATAATGACTTTCCTCTTTCATTAATTTTTGCTTTTGTCTTCATTGTTTTTTTTTCCTTCTACTTTCTGTGGTATTATTTTACTATTCTTTTTCTTTTGAGTTCTTAAGATGGGTAAGTCATTAATTTTTCAATCTCTTTTGTTTAATAATATATACACTTTATACTATCAATTTCCCTTTAAAAACAACTCTAGCTGCATTTCAGATTTTGTGAGGAAGAAAAAGAGCTCCTAAAAACTCCCAGAGAAAAACCTGTAAATGTATACAAAGGATGAAGGATCAGCATGGCATTGAATTTCTCAACAATAACAAGAAAAATGAAATAATATCTTGAAAACTGAAAGAAAAACACTTAAAATCTTGACTCTTATACCTGAAAAATCTATGAAATAACTATGTGGCATTTTTAGACATGCTAATTTTCAAAAAAAAGTATACCCATAATAGCCTGTACATTGAAATAAAGTGGAATTTCCTTGAAGATATCACCACTAAAATGAGGAGGTAAATGAAGAAAAAGACATGTGATCACAAAAAAGTGGGCTCTGACTCAAGCAAAAAGCAATGGGAATGATAATGATAGAAAGAGATCCCAAGATAACTGTTGTGCAGCACATATATAGATTAACCACCTTTCTAAATTAGAACAACTCAGAAAACTTTAAGATAAACTTCTTCAAGAAAATGAATTTGGTAGAATAGTAAATGCGTTGGAACATATTGGGTAGATTTATACAAGTGGGGAAGAGGCTGGGGATAAATCAGTGATAATTTCATAGAAAACCAAGCCACCAAACAAAAAAGATACTTATTAATTTCAGAGAAAATGATTCTAAAGTTATTTAGAAAGTAAAATTAATCATAATATATTCCATGGCATTTACATAGTTATAATAGTGTAACCTTGAATACTGATTTAAGCAAAATTAGGACATAGCTATATTTGGAGAATGGGAAGATAATGAGAAGACAGAGATTGGTGGTGTGGAGGAAGAGATTGGGTGGGGTGAGGAAAGAATATAAAAAAGAGCTAGATCATCTTTCATAGTAAGAAGTCAATATATAATGTGTGAAACTAAAAACTCAAGGAGCTGTATTTAGAGATATCACTGTAAATACATTTTTTAAAAAGCCATAAGAGCTGCAAATAGTTGCCTCTACAAAGTAGAGGATAAAGAAATGCTACTTTTCATATTTAGCTTTGAGTGCTTAAATAAGATGTGTATATATCTGACAAATAGAAAAATTGGATTTTAAAAATCCTATCATAAAAGTGGTGAGCAGTCAGAAATTTAAGAATGCTTTCAAAATAATCTAAAATCACTCTCAGTCTTAAGTACTTCTTTTGGAACAAAAATGAACTGCTGTACATGAGTTTATTCTACATAAGTATTACTCTCTTTTAATTTAACTCCTACTTACTATGCACTGTTGAAAAACACTTCTTCAACAACATCTGGAATCTCAGGAACTTAGTTATTTCAGGTACTCACCAAGATGCTGATTTCTGAGCAATATAGCAAATCTTGGTCAGCAAAAGTTCCAGCAGATACCCTCGGTGAGAGTCTCCCAGCATATGCAATTCATCCACAACCACCATTCCTAAAGAGATTTTCCAAATACTAAGTTTCACAAAATTTCACAATTCCAAGAAGAATTTTAAAAGACTCAGTACCTTATATCTTATACAGTATGTAGCTGTCATTCTAATACATTGCAGATGACATAAATTTCTAACCATAAAACAAAAATTAGATTCCACTTAATGGACAATTATTTTCCAAGATATTTCAAGTATCAAGTGGTCTTACTACAATGTATTCTGGATCTAAAAACCAATGATTAGCAAACTCTGCCTCTCATTACTCTGGCACTTCTTAATTGGCAACCTTGTAGAAATACACATACAATGAGAATCAAAGACATCTATGACAATTATTCAGTGAGTTGACTTTTCTGTGAGGAAAATAGCCAAAGCAACCATACTAATGTTAGCAAGTTGCTTAGAAAAACAGCTTCAGATTAAGAAAAAAGAAATTATTTTAAGGGATGTTTTTGCTTGATTATGGTAGGCTAGTGACTCACTCTATTATAAAACATAAGTGTGAGCATAATTCCCTTCTCCCCTACTTGGAGAATTAAACCAGTCTATGCACTTGGAATAATGCTTAAGAATTACTGAACATTTATTATCAACCAAGCCTTTTTTTTTTATTAAAACAACCAATGCCTTCTTTAAACACTTTCATAACATCATAGTTTCCATGTGTACTCATGTTCCCTCTACAAAAATCAAGCTCTTTCAGACTTTTCCTAATGATAATTGATGCTCCTTTTCCTCATCAGTAAGCTATTTTCAAATCATAGTGTATGATGAGTTATTTCAACATTCATTCATTCAAAAAAATATAGTTACCTAGTGTGGCAGGTACTGCGCTAGGTATACTGGCTGTTAACACTTCATCTGATACAACATTTAATGTGAAAATTCTGATACAAACTGATGAATGTGACTTCTCTCTCCAAGCTTTACAGAGCAGGGCCCATGTCTTATTAAGCTTTGATTTCAATCCCCACCCCTACCTTACCTTTACCGTTTAAGTTTACCAGGAACATAATGAGTAGCTAACTGATATTCTTGCAGCTTCTATTGCTGCCACAATGGTTATTCTCTTCCTGTTGCTACCTCTACATAGTAGGCTTTCCTAAGTGATTAAAAAAAAAAAGGATTAAGATAGAAAAATTCCAAGCTCAGATACAGTGCCAGTTTCTGTAGTCCCTACCATTTCCCTACTGAACAACAGCCTCTGGGTCCAAGCCTAATCTAGATCCACTATCAGAATATGATAATAAATACATACATACACTAATTGCAGAGATGGCAGATGCTTCCTTCTATTCCTGGTAAACTTTAGACAGGAAAGAAGCAATAAGAAATGACTTGAGGGCTCAAGCGATATAGATATCCTCTATGTTTTGTAAAGTGCAAAAACACAAGGAAGTAGAGTCAATAACATCAGTAAGACGTAAAACTTTTTTTACAGATGCCAATTCTCACCTCCAGAAGTAGATGACAGACAACAGAATAAAACATGAGACATACTGAAATCACAACAGCGCCACTCCATTCTATCAAAAAATAGCAAGAGAAAGTATACGCTTATTTTCTAAGTTGCTCACCTAATAGATCCATCTTATTTTCCTCTATGAGGTGATTGATCAGACCATTCGCTCTCTCAATTGTGCAGACAGCAATATCCAAAGAAGAGAAAGGCCTTGTTGGAGAGGTACTGCCCATATAACCATCCACTTTTATTCCTACTTCCTGAAACAGACTCTGAATTGAGTAAAAGGAATAATACAGGTAAAAACACTTGAAAATCATGAATTTTAAATTGGTTCCATCCCAGAACATAGACATAAGTATACAAAGACACTTATCAGATTACTGTTAGTTATTCCCAATAGCATACTTAATCAAATGAGTTCTAACAGCTCTTTACAGAATTAAAATTAGAGAAAAACTACCTTAAGCACTAACATTTTTAATCTAATAAACCAGCAAGAACTAGCTCTTTAACATTAATATAACACTTTCAGAAACAAATTTATCCTTCATGAGGGAAATATTCTTATCCCACTAAAGATTAGTTTTTTATAGAACAGAAGAAAGATTTTCAAAAATCAAATGCAGTGGGGCTTTGATGTTAATTTTTTTTAACTTCAGTTTTAACTAACATACATTCTCAATAAAAAGGATCCTTTCATCATTTTGTTACTTTGCTTTAAGTTGAAAGGATGTTACTATGTAGGACCAGCTTTGTTGGCTCTTTGGCCTCTGAAATAACTATTAAAAAGATTTATAGAACCACTGAATTTTAGAGCTGTTCATTCAATAAAACGTTTCTGGATGTTTACTGAGTTAACCCATAGTTAACCCCATAGTTTTATTTTACCAATGAAAAATTTGAGGCCCAGTAGATTATGTATCTGGCCCGAAGACAAAGTTGGTGGCAAAACTGGGACTAGAACTCAGATTCTTTAGACTTCCAGTACAATAATCTTGCCATTCCAAAAGCACATTTTTTCACTGCAGGAATCAGAATTTATTCTATTTAATGAAATATTACATTGGTAAAAATGTCCTAAAGACCAGTGAGTATCATACAAACATGAACTCTTATTATTCACTTTTGCAGGAGAACAGAACAGACCACAAGCCTGGAGCTTTACATAAGCACCGATGGATCTTATTCTTCATCCTCAAACATTTTCAAATGGCTCTCAATTAGGATGGGATATGTTTCCTTAAACACACATCCTTTCCATGCTTCAGTCTGGTCCTACTACTCAGTTAAGATGTTGACTATTAATTTGCACGTTTATATGCTAATTAAAGTATTCTCCCTATTTCCTAAGGAAAAGTTTTATAAATTTTTATACAGTTTTCACCAATTACTCCTTATTTGATGATCCTTTCTCCTTTATGTGGTAATAGAAAACTTTCTCCTCATAAATAGTCAGCTGTTAAAGCTACATTGAGATGCAATAAATGAAACTTTATTTTCCATTTGCTTTTACAATTCTATTTCAAATGAGTAAAGCCAAAGCTGCCAATAATAGGCCTTCCACCATTAAACTTAGTACAAGAACATTACCTGGAGATAGTATTTCTTCTCTTTTGCCACAGAGACAAAAGGTAAAATAAATAGAGCTTTCTTCCGCATTTCCAATACCCGCTTCAAAATAAGTAGTTCAGCAACAAGAGTCTTCCCAGCACTTGTAGGAGCTAAAACATGTTATTCCACAAGGTTATCACAAAAATATGTAATATCTGATACACTGCATTAATAAATGTTTTAGATCATATCCAGTAATTACATAGCCTAATACTAACCTATCATTAAGGCCCCAACTAGCATCTGAAACCTTTATACCCTGAAAAGCCCCTGACTTTAAACCAACTTTCTAAATAATCTCGCACTCAAAACAGAGTGTTAAATCTTTTCATCATCAATAAATGATGAATATTATTGAGTACCTAGCTTATACCTAAGGATCCTTTCCTTTAAGTACTAAGTGGTTAAAAGCCCTGATTAGAGGAAGGAGTTAAACAGCTTTAAGATACTGTGATAGGAGCTATGATAGAAGTTGAGGGAGAAGAGCTGGAAGGAAGTTTATGAAAAGGAAACAAGTTTTAAGAAGGGAAGAAGAAAGAAATGCCAAACAGAAGAAACAGCATATGCAAAGGCCTAGAGGGAAGCCTGGTATATTCAGATGATAGTGAGTACTTAATTAAGTATGAAATATAAAGTACAAGTGGAGGACTGAAAAAAAGAGATATGAAAGTGCCACATGAAGTAGAGGTTTATAATTCCACCATGCAAGGAGTTTAGAATTTATCCTGAAAGCAATGTAGAGTGACTAGTGAGTTTTATGAACAGGAGAGACGAAATCATATTTGTACTTTATAGAGGCCACTTTGGTTGCGGAAGCAAAGTAGAAGCAGAGAGAAAAGATAAACTTGTTAAAAAGCTATTGCATCATCTAGAAGAAAGATAACAGTAAACTAGGTAATGGACCTAAGAGAGAGCAGTAGCCAGAATCAAGATATTTGAAGTAACAGACACTGGACTTGGCTGATTATTTACTGTGAGTTGGTGACCAGATTTATGAATGACACCCAAGTTTTTGTTTAAGCAACTGAACTCGTCAGGCCATTCTACCACTGCCACTAAATGCCACTAGTTAGCATTTACTGAGTATTTCCTGTGGGCCAAAAAACTTTTCTAAGCTCACTCTTTTTTCTCTCTCCCCCCACCCCCACTCCTTCCCTTCTGTCTCCCTTCTCTTTCCTCTCCCACTCCTCTCTCTCTCTCCCAAATAATTTGTCAGATTACACAACCAGCAAACAGCCTGAACTTACATCAGCTGATAGTGAATTCTCTAATTCTTACTGGTACCCATAATGAAATATCTGGATGACTCACAATTTCAGGAAAAACTGATACAAAGGAAGTGCATCTTACCAAGTGATTAGACTCTAAAATCAGTATACTGAGCACAGATGGTTAAAACTTATATGTCAAAGTTGCCCTTGAAAGCCCATATAAATCTTTTACAAAGTATATTACATATGGTTTTGTGTATACAATTCTGTATAAACTGGTCAATTTATAAGCATATAATATACAATATTCACACACTGAAAAGCAACTGAGATCAACTAGGGGTAGAGCAGATTTACATCTTCCACTGCACACTCACCCTGAGACATTTGTTTGTTGAGAAGAATGGCTGGCACGTAGCTCTCTTTAAATTGTCAGGTTTTTGCCTTCCCCCTGCCTGAATGGAATTTACATAAGTATATATCTGATGGCATTTAGAATGACTGGAACCATTGAAAACTTTTCCTAACAATATTAACAGAACTTCTTTGAGAATATTTTATCATTAAAGAAGTCAGTGAGATAATACTGACAATTCTTTCTTGGACAATGCAAAAACTAAAATTGAATTCTTTTGATTTGTGAAAGCTAGAATTATGCAACTTCATTAAAGGAATTTTTACCTAATTCTTAAAAAAAAGTATACATATGATGAAACTCTTCATCTATTTTAAGACTTTCTCTAGTTACAAAGCACTGTCTCACCTACTTTACTTCAATATTCTTTACATTTATAATGCCTTAAAAATAGTAGGGAACTAAATCTGCACACATTTGAATACCTGAATAGACTAAATTCTTCCCTTCCAGGACTCGTCCAAGCAAAAGGCACTCTGCCTGCCATTCAAACATCTTTTGTACACCAAAACTGTGATATTTCTCCAGAACCGCTGTAGGAAGTCCCCAGTTTGCTAATAGCAGCCTGTCTGTGTGGTCATCAGGAAATATCTGCTTGCATTCCCCTTTTAGGAAAAAAAAAGGAATTGATAGTCGAATTTAGTGCCAATGTTAAGACTTCAGTAACTAGTTTTCCACTGTGTTTTGGAATCCATTTATGTTGGAAAGAGGTTTATTTAAAGTACATCCTGACAGAAAGCACAATCAACATAAGGAGTACTGGGCACTATTAGAAGTAAATCCCCTACAGGTGATGCGATTTGCCTAACTAGTACATTGTTTCTGTAAATTAAGGTCGAAAGCCCCAGAAACTCCTTTAATATTAGTACCAGGCGGTCGCTGAATACGGGCTGAAAGCTCTTCCCTGTCAACGGAAAGTGACCTGCCGCACCAGACCCGAGTCACAAACCGAGAAGGGGAGTAGAAGCCGAATGGTCATGCGAGCGAGCCAGCCCCGCGCGGTGCAGGCACACCCCGACAAGCGGCCGGGCTGAGCTGCCCGCCTCGCCCGCCGCCCACGGAGCGCCTGGGAGTACCTGCAGCTCTAGCTGGCCGGCGGCCGCGGTCCTTCAGGCTGCGTCCCAGGCCCGGGGGCGGGCTGAGCACCGGCCCCGAGGGGAGCAGGAGGTTGTCACTGCTGTCACCGCCGCTCCCCGAAAAGGAGTCTGAGCCCGATGCTGAACGTCGCCGTTTCCCACTCCAGCGCGTTAGATTCATCGCGAAATCTTCTCGGCTCTTCAGGGAAAGATACAGTCCCAGGGTCCTCCTGTTCTGGAGAAAACGGGCCTGCTGACAGATGCGGCCGCCATCTTCCCGCCACAGTTTTCAAACTCCCGCCTCCCAGCCCGCCCCGGAACCACAGAGTTCTCAGTGGCGAGAGTAACCCGAGGACCATAGAGTCGTGGGGAAGGAGCGGCTCTCTGGTGTCTCAGACCTCCGGCCTCCCACTTTAATTATTGGTTAGTGTAAGAGAACCAGAGTTGGACCTAAAATAAAAGGGGGAATAAAACAGACTCAGCATATGTAATATCCAATTATAATCAGACTGGCTTAAGATTTTTCCTTTTCTTTTTGTCCATTTCTGGTTTGAATAGCAAGGTAATGCTAACTTCATAAAGTGAGCTTCCGATAGTAGATTAGAGAAGGAGCTGTTTTTAACATATTGGTATTTTTAAAACAATTACTACAGGATATATGTGCAAAATATTATACAAGTAAAATTTAGGATTTCAAATGAAGCGTAATTTACTCTCCTGGTGTATGATGATAGGGCAGAGTCTGTTTTTGTACCCAAATTCTACTTGAGCCATCATACACTGTGAAGAACATGTGATGGAGTCTTGGGGACTGCTGGCCGATACACCTCTCCGTAGTAAAAGGCTACTTAGAAGGGGTTCTGGATGTGCCTGAGTGATCATTCTGAGCCAAGAGCTCATTAATGGATCTGTGCTCTATCTTTTGGCAAGGGAGAATGAAATGAATTCTGGATTTAAACGGATGCCGGTTTATTACCTAGTTGCACAATTCGTTTCACCAAGCAAATCTAGTAAGCTAGAGGCCTGCCCTGAAGAGGTGGTGCTTTTCTATACAACTAAAAATCTCAAAAGGACCAGTCCAAAAAAGAAACTATGAAGTCTGGGAAACAGGAGAATCAACTCTCCTGTGAAAATCTACCTTGTTAAAAAAATTTTTTGAACAATGTTCTAAAATTCCACAAGATGGAGACATTACTCCATGAAGGAATCACTTTTCTTAGTTACCTTTTATGCAGTCATTTGACTATTTATTGAGAATCTACTGTGTGCTAGGCACTGGGTGTATGGCAGGGAAATGGCATGAAATGGCTCTGGCTATCAAAGAGAAAGAGCCTAAAGAAGGAGACAGACATTAAACTAGTTAATTAATTGATAATTTTAAGTTGTACTAATGCTCAGGCAGAAAAGAACAGACCGCTCTTAAAGAAATAAAAGGGATATTTTAGCCTGTAGTCATGGAAGGACTTTATGAGATGCAGTGTAGCAGGAGGGTCAAGAGTGCAGCTCTAAAGCCAGTCAGTCTGGTTTTGAAGACTTACTAGCTGTGTGATCTTGCTTAACCCTTTGTTCATCCTTTTCCTCATCTACATGATGAAAGTAATAATAGTAACAACCTATTTGGTTATTATGAGCACTAAGTTGTCAATTTGTGTAAAGTGCTTAGAACAGTACCCCAACATAAGAAGTACTATTCAGAGAAAATGATATATAAATATTCTAATATTGCTCCCAATATAAATCCAGCATTTTAATGGGAAAAGAATAAGCTAAAGAAATATCTGTCATAAAGTTATTCTATTTTTATTAAGTGAAGAGAGAAAGTGAGAAAAATAATTAGGGAGAAATTGAAAGAAATGGTTTGTGTCATCCTACTAAAAAGACTAGAAAATAATTTAAAATTTACAGTTTATTTCAAACATTCAATATAAATTTCTAATTTAAAAAACTCTTAGAAAATAGGAAAGAAAAGATTACTTCTCAAAAATATTTAATATTTTATGCTAATAGTTACCATAATAATTAATGCTAATACACCTGAAGTATTTCCCACCTGTTTTTTGTGTCTGAACTTGAGTTCCTTGGAATTATATCTGTTGTAATTCTTGGAGGTCTCCATTGAAGACCTTGAAAAAATTTTCACACGTAGTTTTGCTAGTTATCTGGGAGATGTACAAACTGTGACCTATTTTACTTATTTATTTTTTGTTTGGTTGGTTTTTTTGTTTGTGTGTCTGGGGGGGGAGGTAATTTGGTTTATGTATTTATTTATTATTTTTTTAATTTAATAGAGGTACTGGGGATTGAACCCATTACCTCATGCATGCTAAGCATGCACTCTACCACTGAGCTATACCCTGGCCCCCTCCCCTGGCCTATTTTAAACATAGTCTCTGGGTTGGCTTTTCTTTAAAATACAATATTGAAAGTAGAGTGATGTTAGACACCCAGAGCCAGATTTGGACAGCTTCCATACTCACCATCTCAATCTTCAGATCAGAGATTTCTCTGCTTTACTTATTGCAGGGGCTACCCTTTTGGGTTTTGGCATTATAGAGGGGATTTAAGGAGGGTAGTAATTAGGTTTATTTATTCATTCTAATGGAGGTCCAGGGGATTGAACCCAGGACCTCGTCCATGCTAAGCACAGACTCTACCACTGAGCTATACCTTCCCCCTATACAGGGGATTTTAGAGCTTATCTCCCATTCTGCTAGGAACCCCAGATTCCCATTCCCCAGAACATATAATCCATTAAAATCCACACTCTAGACCACCAGAGATCAGCATACATCACTATGGAAAACTTTGGTTCTAATGCTTCACTTACTCCTTTACTTAATCCTTTGATTATTTGACATTTCTGTCTGACAATAAATTCTCTGATTTTACCAGTTTATCATGAATTTTAAAAGATGTATTTTTTATATAACATCCAGAATTTTAAGGAAAATGTACTGTGCTAGAAGTGGTTTTTTGTTTGGCCTAATATTGCTGAACACAGAAGTAAAGGAAACTCAACAACAATTAATGTACATTCAAAGATGTCATCTGAAACAGTTAGGTTCTACTGTATAGCACAAGGAACTATATTCATTACCTTGTAATAGCCTAGAATGAAAAAGAATGTGAAAAGAAATATATATTTATGTATAACTGAATCACTATGCTGTATACCAGAAATTAACACATTGTAAACTGACTATACTTCAATAAAAAGGAAAAAAAAAGATGTCATCTGATTATTTTAGTAAGTTTGCACAAATAATGAAGAGCAGTTTATCCCTTGAAATTGCAGAAGTTATAAGAAAAAATGAAATTTACACAAACCAAATTTGTGAACTGCCTAAAACAATCTACTGAGACTGAATAAATTTTGTGCTTCTCAGGGGTGTAATGTATATTATGATAATTATAATTAACACTGCTCTATGTTATATATGAAAATTGTTAAAAGAGTAAATCCTTAGAGTCCTCATGACAAGAAAAAAATTTTTTTCTATTCCTCTAATTTTGTATTTATTTGAGATAATGGATGTTTACTGAACTTACTATGATAATTATTTCATGATAGATGTAAGTCAAATCATTATGCTGTACACTTGAAGCATATAGTGCTGTATGTCAATTATATCTCCATGAAACTAGAAGAAAAAAGCAATAAACAAAAAAAATGTGTACTTCTCACATGAGTGGAAGTGATTCGCAAAAAAAGAAACAGCTGGAAAATGTACTCGATCAGCAGTGTGGGATACAAGTGGTGCTGACTGAGTCTAATGTGCTCAGAATAAAGGAGCTGCCAATTAAGAGGATTTTGTGTTCGAAGTTCAGTGGTTCTCAACTGTTTAGTCTAGTGGCTTCACATAAGAATCCCCTGGGGAACTCTGAGGAACTCTAAAAATATTATCCTACTCCTAGAGATGCTGACGAAATTGGTGTGTATAGATTCTAGGCACTGATATCTCTTAAAAGCTCCCTAGGTGTTCCTACAATGCTGCTGGAATTGAGAACAACTGGTGTAATCCAAGGAAGGTGGACTTGAATTCAGGTGGCTTCAGTGAGAAAGTTTTAATAAGAGGCTGAAATTAATAAGGAAATCTGAAAAAAGACTTATTTCTCCACACTGACCCAAAGAATTAGTAGAAATAGCTTACATGGATGGGAATGGAAGCAAAATCAAAATACCTACAGAGGTCTAGGTTAAAACATCAGAAAGCCAATGTAAAGGTGGTAAAACTAAACAGTGAATGCCTGAATGAGACTAAGTTAATTGAGTATGTAAAAACACAAACCTGTAACTTCCAAATTCCAATGTAGATTGTTCTCCCACTTCTCACATGGCAATACCTGCTGACTGCCTGTGTAATAAACACCAAGCAGGCACTGTGAGGAAGACAGATAAGCACTAAGCCTGGGAATCTTATGTATCTGTTTTACAGTAGAAATAGACTTTGATTAGATGGGGAAAGGAGTGAGTACTTTGCCAGGGAAAAGTTACCAAAAGGAGCTCTGGGGCAACAATCTCCTGCTTGGTTTGGGGTGGGGGTCAGAGCACATCTAAGCAAGCACTCCGGGGCTGCCACTGGGGTCTTTGATTGCATGGTTTTTAGAGCAGCTCTTATGGATTCTGAGGATTTCTCTAGATGTTACTTTTTTTCTTTGATCCCATCAATTCTACCCCTCTTCTTATTTAGACAAAATCTTCCCCAAATCAGCAGCAACAAATAGGAAAAATGTGTGGAGGATTTGCTTATAGCCAGCTGCTTTGATGTAGGGTTGAGGACGCAGGTCTAGTCAAGGGTGAATTTGTGCTCCTGTCTTCTTTTTGCATTTTCTCATTGTCTCTTTCCCTAATTCTCTCTCCTCATTTTCACTTTAATTGCTTTTCTCCCCTTCCCTTTCTATTTAGGTTTAGTCACTATTATGATAGCACGCATAATATAATGTAAAATTTTATTTTTAATACGCTCAGAATCCTACATGGAAAGAATTCTTTTATCGTAGGGGGAACTTTACTCTTACCTGTAGTTCTCATGTTAATAAAATGGCATTAAAGTGACTCATTGGTGTCCTTAAGTGTAATTTTTATTATATATTAGACAATCTTTTGCATACAAATTGGTAAATAAATGCATATCAGGATTCTACCTCATTTCTTACTAAAATGGGACCAATTTAAAAGATCACATCTTCACTGCCCCTTTGGTGGCATGCAAATCCTGGGTTATGTCAGTGACAACCCTGACGGCAAGGACTTACAGAGTCTCCTCTCTTGT